ACGCGCTGCCTGACCGAGGAAGAAAAACGAGAATTCAGCAATTACACCCAAACCATAGAATGAAAACGTGAGGACGCCAAGGGATCGTCACTCCTTCAAAGGGTGACTGAAATCAAACCAGATCCAGAGAGGTACGTGCACTATGCCAGAATTATTCTGAATTCTCTGGTGGAAATTTTTTTGGGTTGCGTCTCCTTATATATACTGAGAATACAAGCTATTCCAGTTCCTTATATGCGTACAAAAATATGAACAGCGTAACTATTTCGACTCCAAGTTGCACTGGAGGTGGTATTATATCATGCCACATCTCACAGATTCTCAGTTAGTGGTTGGGGTTGCAATTAAAGCAAGCCTGAAAAGTCATTTATTTTCGGGGGCATAGGTAGTCATTGGCTTCTCAACAAATCATAATCGCCCGCCGACACGTACTTGAACACAACCTTCAATCCACAACTTGAAATAACATATTCGAAAGGAATAGCAAAGCTTTGGGCGGAGGTAGCAATTAGACCGCTACTGTCTCCACTGCCCCCTGCCCCATTTGGTACGCTGCGATGGTAAGCCGATCAAAGGCAGCGCAGCGTCTGTTTGTACGGCTGAAGGCAGCCGGCGAATAAAGCAAAGAAATGACACTCGACATGAAAGTCCAAATGCAATAAATTTCGGTGGTCCATCGGGATAGAACTGGAAAATAACCCAACCCCATCTTCCCTCTGAAGCTCAAGGCGGCAGTTCCAGGCTGGTTGAAGCAGACTATAGCCCAAGACGTGCGATCCTGGTTAAAAGGTCCGTTCAAGTTTAGCTTTTGAAGTGCTAGAACACTCACGGACACTTGCAGAATGGCAACTGACTGGAAAATGAAAGTTATTTGTGTTCAGTGGAAAGGGAAGACAGATATGTCCTTTTTGACATATTTAAAATAATTCATCGTCCAGGTAGGACAACACTCCGTATAATTACCACTCCTGCGGATTTAAGCCGAGAGTACTTTGTTAGAAGGCCACTTCTAGACTAGTATTCAACCGGATTAATGTCTGTGCGTTGTGATGGACGTAAGGTAAATTCACTTTGATTGCATGACAGTCGCATAGATGCGACTTAAGCCAGTCATACAGCACCCCCATTTTCAAAAAAGCATTTACACCTTTCGTCTCCTGCAACATGAATGAAATGAACGTGGTTTCAATGCAGCAAGAAATACTTGGAAGATGTAGCCGAATTCTCAGACTTACTTCGATTTCACCGAAGGATTTATTTGACTCAGCGGCGTCACTGTGGATGCTGGGTTCATCAGCCTAATGGGTAGAGAAAAGGATAAATTATGTAGCATGGGACCCAGGTAACCACTTACTTGGTTGCCTGGAGATGCGTTTGGACTGATTTGAATGAAACTTATAGGGATTCAGACAAACATTATACTTACAGCAACTAGCCTATCTCATGAAATATAAGCAAAAATTATGAACTGTGCTTTTTTTACTACAAAACAGTAATTTAATAGGATGGGATAAGGTTATTGTTTGTCTCGAAAACAGGTTTCATTCGGCTCGAAAAAAAGTGCAATTATATGATTTTTTGC